GGGGGCAGGGGCCCGCCGTGGTACAGGCTCTTCTCTCGGCCCCCCACGCGGGTGTCGGGAGGGGCGGGCCCGTCAAAGGATGAAGGGGAAGAGGCGGGGAGGGGACCACCCGAGCTGGGGTTGAAGTGCCCTCCCCGCGGAGAGGGGGTGAGGCGGCCGGAGGAGGAGGGGGCCGGAGGTGTGCTGTAGGGGGGCTCCGGGGGGGACGTGGTGGGCGGCGGGGGGATGTCCTCCGAACCAGGCACCGACAGGCTGCGGCTGAACTTCATGGCTGGGGGTGCTAGGTAGGGTCTCTCATCTTCTGCAGCCCCTGGGAAGACACAGAGGATGCAGGAGCCGGGCCTGGGGTGAGGGGTGTCTCCCTGCTCCCCATCCCATAGAACTCCAATATCAAAAAGTAATAGTAATAATAATGACACCCAGCATCTGTTAAGAAGAACTTCACATGGCTTAGATTAGAGCTTCCCCAGCTGTGATAAATCCCAGTCCCGCCCGATACCGTCAAACAGGTTTGTGCACTGCACAACAGCGAACAGCAGAGGGAGCAAGAGAGGGGGTGGCGAAATTCAGCTGAACTTCCTCCCCAGGCCAGGAGGGGGCGCCTTTTTGCTAACTTGCACAAACGCCCAGTATATGCTAATGGTGGCTTGGGGTCAGCAAAAGTGCCTTGAGCGGGGAAGAGATACCATGTTAATGTGCACAGTTAGAGATTTCTTTTCACGTTTATGCAGAAGAGAAATGTAATTAGCACATCAAACCTGTGATCTCACCGACAGATGAGGCTAACGTTTAAAAGAGGGAGCCCATTGATAGGCAAGCGATTTCGGTGAATGAAGAGATATGGGTAGAGCCACAGATGGTGGGCAGTGGACGCTGGAAGTGGGGAGAAGCTAGATCTAACGGGCAGAACGACTTGGAGAGGGTTGGAATAGTGAAGTCTTCTGCCTACTTGTGACTATCAGGGCTCAGTCTTTGACCCTCTTCGCCCCCGACCACTGTCTCCCTTGCCGATCACAACCAGCATGGAGGCTCCATTCACCACCCCTCAGCTGAAGACTCCACATTTCCCTGGGGCCCGATCCTCTCCCCTGAGCTCCAGGCTCCTACCTCCAAACGCGGCATCCTCTTGGACATCTCCCTGGCATCTCAAACCCGGCTCCTCATCTCCTCCCCGCCCACGGTCTCCCCCATCTCAGTGAATGGCAGCTCAGTCCTGCCTCAGGACCTTTGCACTGGCCATTCCCGCTGCCTGGAATGCCTTCCCTCCAGATATCCCCATGGCTCCCTGCTTCCTCTCCAAGTTTTTGCTCAAGCGTGCCCCCCATCGTCCCTGATCCCTCTCTTCAACTCTACTTTTTTCTTTTTTTCCACCGCACTTTCCACTGTTAACATAATATAATTTTCTTGTTTTGTCTCCTTATAATCTGTTGCCTGCCTTCCCCTACTAGGAGGAAAGGTCCATGAGGGCAGGACCCTTTAGTCTGTTTTGTTCACGGACGTATCCCCAGGAGTCTAGGACAATGCCTGGCATATGGAAGGTGCACAATAAACATCTGTAGAATGAATGAATGAATGAATGAATGGAGTCAGGTATAAGAGAGAAGGGACCAAGGTCTGTGGTGGGGGCTTCAACTCACTGCATCCAGGCAGGGGCAATCATGTCCCCATTTTCTAGACGCAGAGCCAGAGGCTCAGAGACGGGAAGCCACCTGCCCCAGGTCACACAGCTGGGATGCACAAGAGTCAGGATTCGAACCCAGGTTTGCCCAGCGACCAAGCCTGAGCTCTTTGCCCAACTGGATGGAACTGTGGTCACATACGGAAGTAGGATCCAGGATCCCTTGTCCCCTCCCCGTAAACCGTCACCCTCCCAGCCTCTCCTCCCCCACCAACATCTCTCACACCGCTCCGGGGGACATACCGATAGATTTTTGCCGGAGCATAAGCCCAGGTCCTGGAGGCAGGTAAGAAGGACGTTCGTAACTTGGCTGGGAGCGGTGGTGGGGATCGAAGCTCGACTTTGGGGCGGCCGTCAGGGGAGGAGAGAGAAAAGAGAGCAAAGAAAGATCAGTCAGGGCCCCCACCCTTCTGCAAGCCTCGGCAGGAAGGGAGAGGGGCGTGGAGGAGGTGGAAGGGAATTCTGGGGGAGGGAAAGGTTTCTGAGTCCAGGCGGCGGGGTGAGAGAAAGGAAAAGAAAGCAGGTTATCAATCAACCCTGTTTGCTCTGCTTCCCACACTGATCACTCATCTGGTCCCTTTTCTCATCGATTGCTTGGATGGCTGCAGTAGCCTCTTGTCTCCCAGCTGCCCACCTTGTCCCCTCACCCCTTTCTGGTCTGCTCTCCACACAAGAGTCAGAGGGATCTTTCAAAAAGAAATTCAGATCCCGTTCTTGCCCTGCTTAAAATCCTACAGTCACATCCCCCATCAGTTAGGAGGGGATCCGAATTCTCAACTCTGGTCTACAATGTCCCCTGCAGTAGACACTGCCGGCGCCCGCCCGGATGCCCTTGGCCGGGATGCTGTGCCCATCCCCAGCTGCTGTGGGTGTCACCTGTCTGCGGCTCTCGGCTGCACCTCGCTCTGAAGAATCACCCTTCCCCAAAGGAGCCGACGTGCCCAAGCAGTTACGTGCCCCCACTTCTGGGAGCAGCTCGCGGCCACAAACTGACGACACGGAGGTCCAAGGCAGGATTAACCCCCCGTCGTGCAATTCACACTCCAGAGCTCCCGGGGGGAGTCATGCTGAGGGACAGACTCTAGCGGCGACCAGGTTAGCTGACCCCCGCGGCCCACCCTGCCTTCCCCCTTAGCAAACCGCTGGCACAGGAACCCCTATCTCAGGCTCCGATTGTAGGAAACCCAGACTGAGACCCGCTGCAGGATCAAGCCGCGCCTGCATCTCCCACTGGCTCACGCGGGTCCCACCACGGACACCTTCTCCTGCTCCTCCGGGGCCCCAAGGTCCGTCCCTGCTTTAGAACACTTGCAAGACCTGGCCTTCCCTCTGCAGTGGTTTTCCTCCTGATGCTCACAGGTTCTTCCCATCTGTACGTCCTCCACTCGACTGTCCCCTCCCATCTCCGTCTACTGTTTCCCCGTCCTGCTTTCTTCCTGGCCCTTCTCTCCGTCTGAAATGCTCTGGCTTACCTGCTCACTGTCTGTCTCCCTCCCTCTCTGAACACACCATATATCATCCCAGGCTCCCTGGGTACAGTGTCTAGGGCCTGCCGTACTTTTAGGGGAAATGTTTTAATTGATGCTAAAATCAGAAGGAAAAAAAGGATATCATCCAACCTGGATAATATTCCTCTTTGCACCCACACAGTCATAAAATATAGATTTTTAAGCTTTTTTTTTTAGGAGGGAGGGGCTCACAAAGGCCAAAGGGTAGCGACTTTGTCGGTCTTGTTCAAGCTGGGTCCCCAGTCCCCAAATGGGGCCTGATGTTCTACAAGCTCATGTCAAATGAATGAGGAACTGAATGAAAACGAGTCAGCAGCAGGCACCACACGGCCCTGACTCCCTGCTTCCGCCAGGTGACCCCATATGTCTCCCTTCTCCATATTTTTTTTTTCCTGAGGAAGATTGGCCCTGAGCTAACATCTGTGCCCATCTTCCTCCACTTTATATGGGACGCCCCCACAGCATGGCTTGCCAAGCGGTGTGTCGGTGCATGCCCGGGATCCGAACCTGCGAACCCCAGGCTGCTGAAGCAGAGAATGCGCACTTGACCGCTGCACCACCAGGCTGGTCCCTCCATCTCTGAGACCAGACGTGCAGTGAAAGGAAAGCCTCTCCGGGTGAAGTCCCACCTTTGGGATGTGGCCCTCGAGGCCCTCACTTCCCACCATGCCCCCTCCTACCGCCTAGCTCTAACCACTCCCCAGTCTCTGAATTCCCTGTGCTGTTTCTCAGTATATGCTGTTCCCTCTGCATGGAACATCCTTTCCTCGTGCTCTGCTTTGGAAAACTCCTGGTCATCCCAGCCCCTCACCCTAGCCTGGCCGTCCCCTCCGCTAGGCCTGCACTGCCCAACACAGTAGCCACTAGCCATTCAGGTGTAAATTTCAATTACTTAAAATCAATCAAAATTTAAAATTGCCTCCCTCCATTGCATTGGCCACATTTCAAGCATTCGGTCGTCACATGCGGCTGGTGGCTCCCCGTGTTGGACAGCGCAGATGTAGAACATTTCCATCATCTAGAAAGTTCTATTGGACAGCGCTGTTCTAGACTTTCATAGAACACTTTTCATTCCACAAATATGTACTGAGCACCTGATCCAGGCCAAAGACTGTTCCAGATGCTGCAAATGCAGCTGGAAACAAAACAGACAAAAGTCCCTGCCCACGTGAAGGGCAGGCAGACCATAAACAAAATAAATTAGTAAAATACACCATGGGTCAGATGGAGGTAAGGGACGAGAGAGAGGGAGAGCGTAATTAAAATAAGGCAGGCAAAGGAGGCCTCACTGAGAAGGTATCATTTGAGCCAACTCCTGGAGGAGAGAGCCATGCATATGTCCAGCGGAAGAGCATGCCAGGCAGAGGGAACAGCAAGTGCAAAGGTCCTGAGGTAGAAGTGAGCCTGGTGTGCTCCAGGAATAGTCAGGAGGCCAGTGCGACTGGAGTGGGTGAGCGAGGGGCTGGGGGTGGGGGAGGAGGTCAGACAGGCGGTAGAAGGGTGATGTTGGATGGGATCTGGTAGTTTCAGATGGCTCTTCCCTGGAGAGGCTTCCTTCTGTTACTCTGCATTATAACTCCCTCCACTTACCCAGTTTAGAGTCATTATAATTATTTCTTGGCTTGTTTATTGTCTGTCTCCATGGACATGTAGCCTACCCAATACCCATTCTACTCTTCTTCCTTCGTAAGAAAACCCCAATCTTATTTGGCACCTATTCAGAGACTGCATTTCCCAGCCTCCCTTGCAGCTAGGTGTGGCCACAGGACAAAGGCCGGCCGAGATGCATAAGTGGAAGTGTTGTGTGTTACTTCTGAGAGGCCTCATTAGTAACCCAAGAAGCAGCAATGCACCCTCTTTTGCCTTTCTGCCTTTCCACTCTTCCTTGTTCCCACTACCTGGAATGCTGGTGTAATAGCTAGAGCTCCAGCAGCCACCTTGGACTATGAGGTGACTTTGTGGTTGGAAGCAAGTCCAGACTGGTGGGGCAGAAAGCAAGAAGGATCCTAGGTCTTCCTGACCACAGAGGCTGCCACACTTGCCTGGGACTCCCTACTCTAGATTTCTTTAACATGAAAGAGATATAAACTTTATCTTGTTCAAGCCACTGCTATTTGGAGATTTCTCTTACCTACAGAAGAACCTAATTCTGCAAAATCCCCTCCCTCCAAAATGTAAATTCTCTAAGGGAACGACTTTGTGGGACTGGTTCATTCCTACATCCCCAGGGCCGAAAAGCAGTCCAGGGCAGAGCAGATGCTCAATAAATTCTGGCAGAATGAAGAACTATTGGAGGTGATACAAGACGCTCTGACAAGATGAGGGGAGCACCCTGAAGGCAAAACTCCAGTCCTGTTCCTCTAACATCTCCATGAAACAGCAGTGGGGCGGCCCCGAGAAGGCGTCAGGCAGGGTCTCCTGAAAGCCTGCCCGCTCTGACGGCCTTCCCCTCCTGCTCTCCTCCGAGAGTCATGCTCAGCCTGCCCGATTCCTCTTGACTTTGCTGAACGTTTTCCTCCCACATTCTCCCTAAGCCCCAAACACCCTGTGGGCTTCCCGTCCCGTCCTGCAGCTGGTGAAGATCTGTGTGGCATCAGCGAGCCGAACCCCTCAGAAGACGGAGAGACTGTGTTTGGTGCAGAGAGAGGGGAGTGGGCAGTGAAGGGAGACACTTTTGTGCCAGCCTCTTTGCGGGCTGCTTCGCGTGTAAGTCCTCACTGACCCTCGAGCAGTCGCGTGCGTGAGGGGTGGTTACACCCACTCTGATGACAGTGACAGAGGCTGTGATCAGAGGGGAAGGGTCGTGTCCCAGGTCAGCCGGTGAGTAAGAGGAGGTTACGGGGCCGTTGGAGGAAACAGATGGGAGCGGCTGGAAAATCCTAAGGTCCACTAGGAGAGGAGAAGAAAGAGCCAAGAGGAGGGCGTGTGTGCAGTCAGGAGGGACGGGGCCAGCAAGGGGCGGAGCAGGCTGGAGGGGGCGGCGAGTACAGAGTCCAGGCTGGGGAGGGCGGGCGAGGAAACTGGGGGGAGGAGGGAAGGTGCCAGAGCATCCTGCATGAGGCCTGGGGGCGGGGGGCGGGGTCAGAGTGACAGGAGCAGGGTCAGAGTGACAGGAGGGGTGTCAGAGTGACAGGAGTGGGGTGAGAGTGACAGGAGGGGGGTCAGAGTGACAGGAGTGGGGTGAGAGTGACAGGAGGGGGGTCAGAGTGACAGGAGTGGGGTGAGAGTGACAGGAGCAGGGTCAGAGTGACAGGAGTGGGGTGAGAGTGACAGGAGGGGGGTCAGAGTGACTGGAGGGGAATGAGAGTGACAGAAGCAGGGTCAGAGTGACAGGGCAGGGGTCAGAGTGACAGGAGCAGGGTCAGAGTGACAGGAGGGGGGTCAGAGTGACAGGAGCGGGGTCAGAGTGACAGGGCAGGGGTCAGAGTGACTGGAGGGGGGTCAGAGTGACAGGGCAGGGGTCAGAGTGACTGGAGGGGGGTCAGAGTGACAGGGCAGGGGTCAGAGTGACTGGAGGGGGGTCAGAGTGACTGGAGGGGGGTCAGAGTGACAGGGCAGGGGTCAGAGTGACTGGAGGGGGATCAGAGTGACTGGAGGGGGGTCAGAGTGACAGGGTAGGGGTCAGAGTGACAGGAGGGGGGTCAGAGTGACAGAGGAGGGGTCAGAGTGACTGGGGAGAGGTCAGAGAGATAAGAGAGGGGTCAGAGTGACTGGGGAGGGGTCAGAGAGACAGGAGAAGGGTCAAAGTGACAGAGGAGGGGTCACAGTGATGGGGGAGGGGTCAGAGTGACAGGGCAGGGGTCAAAGTGACAGGGTGGGGGTCAGAGTGATGGGGAGGGGTTAGAGTGAGTGGAGAGGAGTCAGAGTGATGGGGGAGGGGTCAGAGGGACAAAAGAGGGGTCAGAGGGACAAAAAAGGGGTCAGAGAGGATGGGGGTCAGAGGGACAGAGGAAGGGTGTCCCCGACTGAACAGGGGGCACAGTGAAGGGGTGGCGTCAGGCTGGCACACTGACAGAAGACACTTCGAAGTGGAAGAGGAGGGCTCAAATAACGGGTTAGCGTGACGTAAGCGGGGTCAGAGTGGCCGAGGGGCTATCAGACTGACGGAGGAGCCATAACAGCGTCTGAGGAGGCGTCGGCCTGGCCGCCGGGGGGGGGGGGGGGGGGGGGGACTGACTCAAGGTGGGACAGGCTGACCTCCAGCCACAAAGGGCGAGCATCCTCTCCCGCGCGGAGGAGCAGCCAATCAGAGCGCGCCAGGTGAAAGTGACGTCACCGGCTGCCGGGCAGACTCCTCCCCAGCCCGTCGGCCCGAGGTCCAGCCTCCCGTGCCACCTCTCGGGTCGGCTGTGGGTCTGGTGCCTCAACGCTGAGGGTGTGCCCTCATGCTGTGCACACGCTGGAGGCTGACAGTGGGCTGGGAAATTTGCACCAGGGAGACAGCCCCAGAAAGGGGGTAGGGGGGAGAGAGTGGAGGGGGAGACAGACGGAGAGACAGAGAAAGAGATGGGGAGAAAGAGAGATGCGGGAGACAGAGATGGGTAGGCAGAGACAGAGATGGAGGTCCAGAGGGGAGAGAGGCAAAGACTGAGAGACAGGAGAGGGAACGAGACAGCAACGGGGAGAAAGAGGGACCAACCAGGCAGGAGAGAAAGGCCATCCCGGGCGGCTCTGAAATGAGAGGGCCAGGGCTGGCCCCAGAGGGAGAGACAGAGGCAGAGAATGCGACCAAGAGGGTGTGGTACAAATAATCAGAGGGAGAAAGTGAGTCTAGAGAAAGGCTGAAACCAGCACCCATACAGAGATGGGGGGGCGGGACAGGGGACCCCCGGGGGTCAGTGACCAGGTAGCAGAGACAGTAGCCACCCAGAGGGGAGGACAGATGGATGGACGGATGACAGACCCCTAGGAGGAGACAGAGCCAGGAGGTGCCTCCTCAGTGGAGCTGCCCAGGGTCTGTGCCCCCAATGTTGGCATCAGAGGGTCTCCCCACCCCCTTAGGGTTTATGCAGGGGTGTGTCTTTCAGGGATGGTTGAAATCTCCCAATTCTTAAGTTTTTAAACAGTGGCGCCTTCTACAATATTTTGCTCTGGTTGACTATTGCACAGGCCTGAGAAAAGATGCCTCGGGGCGGCCCCCATACTGCCTGCTTGCCCTCCTGGTCTAGGTGCAGAGGGGTCCAAGGGGGAGAGGGAAGAGAGGAGAGAAGCTGAGATGGATGGGAGATGGAGACACAGAGAAAAACAAGACCACACAGCGAGAGAGGCCATGGAGGCGCAGAAACGTCTGGTAGGGCCCTCTGCATTGACTCAGTGTGAGAAAGATCAGAATAGCTGGTGGGAAGGTGGGAGAAGACAGTACCCCCAACATGCAAGGGATGGATGGGGAAGGCCCAGGGACAGACTCCAGAATGGAGAGAAGAAAAGAAGAGGCCCTCCAGGACCAGGAGGGAAGGGTGGCCCCTCGGAAGACCTCAGGTGAGTGCCTACGGGTCCTATCTAGGAGCTGGGGATGGGCGGGCAGCTGGTGTTATTATTGGCCTGTGCCGGGTCCATCTAGGGGTGTCTTTGGAGCTCAGATGGTCAGTTCTGTGACAGCCAGGATCTTGTCTGTCCTGTGACCGCGGTTCACGCAGGGAGGGCCTGGTACCCCGGCTGCCTGGCACCTGGTGGGTACTCCACGCATTTGCTGAATAAATAAAAACAGGGCTTGCCCTAATCTGTTATCGGAGACTCCTCCCTGAGCCTGATACTCTGTGGTGGGGTCTCCGAGGCACCTGTTGGCCTCACTGGTGAGTCACGGTGGGGTCTCCAGTTTGTTATTTTATGCCTGGGGGGGCCCACCCTTTGGCGAGAGCCTGCTGGGCTAGGAGTTGATCTCACTCAATCCTCATAAGAACCAGCAAGATTGGCGTTAGCCCCGTTGTACAAAGCAGCAAACTGAGATGCAGAAAAATTAACCAGCGTGGTCCAGGTGACAGAGTTAAGTTAGAGGAAGTCGGGATTTGCAGGCAGGCCTGGCCGGCCCTACAGCCCATGCACTTTTGATTCTAGAGCCCAGAGAGGTGGCCGTGGGCCCTTTGCCTCTAAATCTGAAAGAAATTCTAGGAGTTCAGGTACAAAACTTGCCACCTGCATCTAGTTCTTGTAAAAGTACCAGACTCTCTCGTGTAGGTGGTCTGACCCTTAGGCGGCTGTGGATAGACTTCAGGGGCCACCATGCTTGGCTGGGGAGGGTGGGGAACACTACATTTTTATTTTCATTATTTTCCAACCAAAATGCAACATTTCCTCAATTAGGGATGTAGGCAACAAGCCAAGGTAGTCTTAGCAAGACCTGTGATTGTGTCCCCAGTGGAAATCACAGACACGTCCGTGTGCCATCACAGGGGTTGTAGATTTCTCAAAATAGTGCATATGCTCCTCGTGACTTTGAAGCTGGAGTAGCGAAATCCACCTCTAGATCCTCTGGCTGATGTGTTGACCGAAAGGCCCCAATGTTACCATATCACAAATTTTGCTCTTAAAAAATATTTTGGTAATTTCAGTGTAATATTTTGGTATTTCAGTGTAACTGGCTTCTTTTGTTATCTGATGTATTTTATTTTATGCCTTGATAAGCATTATTCTGAGGACCATGCCAACCTGATAAAGGGGTCCATGGCCCCCCAAAAGCCAAGAACCCAGTCTTTTAGAGTAAATGGCTCCTTGGCCACCAGGTGGTGGGTATGACCTGTGAGAAGAGGGGTTTGGAGGGTGGTTAGAGGGCAGGGCCTGGGCAGAGAAGGAAGTACTAAGAGAGGTAGGGCAGTGTGTGACCTCTGTGTGACCTCTGGAGGAGAGGGCTGGAGGGGAGGGGGAGGGGGGAGGCACTGGCAGGCCTGGTGGCGGATGTGTTCCCATGAAGGGGCACAGCCCAGTGGGGAGGACAGCCAGGGAGGGACCAGCAGGGCCCCACCAGAAGAGCCAGGGCCGTGGCTGGACCACAGATCCAGTCACCTGACTGCCTGGGTTGAAATCCTGACTTCCTCTCTGAGCCTCAGTTTCCCCTCTGTAAATGGGCTAACAACTGTGCTACCTCACAGGATGATCCTAAGGCAGGAATGAGATAACCCATGTAAAACGTAGTGTCCAAAATATGCCCAACACCCGCTCCAGGTCAACCTCTGTCGTAGGGAACAGCAGGCAGAGCGGAGACAGAGAATAATTAATATTTTACCAGCTGCCACTTGTTGAGGACCTGTTACTAGGCGCTGGGCCTGTGCCAGGGATCTCCATCCATGACATCGTCTTACCTTCCCTGAGACCCTTGTGGTAGGACAGAGAGAGGTGGGCCAAGAGAGGGAGCAGGCATGAAGAGCAAGGATGGAGAGAGACTGGATTTGGCGGGAGAATGAAGAGGAAGAGAGTGAGCAGAGGGGACAGGAGGCCTCCAGAGTGGGGAGAAAGGAGTGGACCCCAGGAAGTGTGGTGCCCCTCCAGAACCGGAATGGGACACATGGGGGTCGGGAAGGGTTTGCAGGAAGAGCCATCGAGGTTTCAGGTCGGCGCGTGCACCCCTGTGCACCCCCAAGCTTCTCCCACTAGCCCGCCCCCCCACCCCCGGCAACGCCCCCATTCCCCAGACCAGGCCGCCTACCTCAGTGGCAAAGAAGCCTTTGGGCCGGTGTTTGCCCAGGGACGCAAGGCCACCAGGCGCAGGACTCTCACTTGCACTGATGGTCTGCTGAGCTGCCGCCAAAATTTCATCCAGTTTGTCTAGGGGGAGGCGGAAGAGGGGTGGGGAGACAGGGAAATGAAGTTTGCTTTGGCTTTGCACACAGACAGAGCTGCCCGGAGCCCACACAGCGTCTTGCATGAACCAGAACTGGGCCCCTCTGTCTCCATCCCGGTGGACCACTGCCCTCGGTGGGGACACCATCTCCAGCCCAGCAGGCGGGACCCAGCGATGGGAAGGGGTGAGGGCGGCGAATAGGCCAGGCTCCCTGGGAGGGAAGGTGGAGGGGAGGCAGAGGGAGGGGAGAGAGGCTGAGGACAGAGGTGGGAGCTCAGACTGGGGCAAGGCTGGGGGATGAAGACGACGGGGAGGGGGATGGAAGGGGCGTGGGGCCGGGGGCCCTGGGCAGCCCGGGTAGCAGGGCTGGGGCATCTTACTGAGAGCCATCTGATACACGGTCCGCTTTTTCTCCATGCTGGGCACCGGCGCCGGCTGCTGGTCGTACTCTGTGGGCAAAGGATGCGGATGAAGCCCAGGGGCGCCCTGGGGGCGTGGCGGAGCGGGCTCGGCCAGTGGGCGTGGCCAGCGGGCTGCGCAAGCGCGAGTGGGGCCGTGAGGGGCGGGGGCGCGGAGGGGCGAGTCCGCCGGCGGGGTCGGGACGGGGCCCTCCCGCCAGTCCTGTGCCCACTCACCACTCTTCTTCTTCCAGGGGGAGACTAGCCCGGGGGAGAGGCAGTAGAGGAGCCAAGAGTTAGGACTTCAGGGGGAGGCGAGGGGCCCCCTCTCTGGAACGCCCCCCTCCCCCAGGGCCCCGGGGTGGGCGGAGCCAGCTGCCCGCCCCGCCCCCTGCCTGGGGCAACCGGATCCCCCAGGTCCACGGGGCCTGTCTGGAGGGAGGGGCTCGCCTTCCTTTCTGTGAGTGGGGTGCGGGGAGCTGGTGGAGGGCGAGATGGAGAATGGGAGTGGGCGTGAAGGGGGACAGATGCAGAGGGGCTAGAAGGGAAACAGGGACCGGCAGAGAGGGACGTACAGACCCGGAGGAAGACCCCCGACAGAGAAACAGATACAAGAGGACAGAGGAAAGTCGACTCTCAGACGCCCCTTCCCAGCGACACACGCAGGCCACAGAGAGTCTGACCCATGGACTGGGGGACGAGGACGAGGACCCCTGGTCACTAACAACACTAACGAACTCAAGGGACGGTCCAGCCCCCCTCTGCCCCTCTCCCGCCCAGGCACCCCAGCAGCCCCAGAGGCTCACCCATCTCCTCCAGCTCTGAGGTCATAGACTTGGAACGCAGGGAGATGGTTGGGGGCGGGAGCCGCTTAGCTTGCTGGGGTGCTGAAAAGGTGATGGTGGGGGTCAGGCATCAATACCACGGGGAGAAGCCCTGCGACGCCCCCATCACCAGCACAGTGGTCCCAGAGCTCAGAGAACGGCGGCCACCAGCATGCTAAGCCCACCCTGCCTCAGTGTCTCCCCAGAAGGGTCATGAACAAGCAGACTCGGGGAAGGGAAGGCTGGTGGTGGGCACCGGCCATCAGGGCTCCTGGGGGTCTTGGTCTGGCGGCAGTCGGGCGCCCAAGCCTGGCCACACAAGTAGGGGAGGAGCACCTTTCTTGTGGACAGCCTCATCCATGTCCGGGTGCCTGGTAACCATCACCACCTTGACCATCAGTGTGTTGCCCCCTTGGCGGATCATGTTCACCACCTGTCGGTGGCCGACCTTCACCACATTCTGCCCGTTCACCTGTGGCACAGAGACCCCAACCACACCGAGCAGGTGAGGGGAGGGTGCTTTCAGCTTCAGAGTCCCCAGTGAAGGGGCCCCCTGCATTGCCCCGTCTGTGGCACTGTTGGTCACTCTTCTTTCCCTCTGACCCTCCCTACCACCCCCTCCTCTTGCAAGGACCTCACCATTCCTATAACTCTCCTGGCCCCAGGGATGGGGAAGGGGCTGAGGCCACCCTATTCACCTCTCTCTCTCTCCTTGTACTCCAGCACTGTGTGTATGTGTGTGTGCATGCTGGGGGACACCTCTGTCATCTTTTGAGATTGCTGAAGAAAGCAGAGGCTGGCTTGGGGGTGGGCTGGGGGCTGAGAAGCCTGGTGCCCAAGGAGAATCTGGACTTGGGCAGCCAGATCCTGGTGTGGATCACAAGGGGCCTGGGGATTTGTTGCCAGGGTCCCAGGGGAGACAGGGGCGTCTGTGGAAGGTGAACCCAGGGCTGGGGGCCAGGACTCACCTCGATAAGGAAGTCTCCCATTCGCAGTCCTGCTCGCCATGCCACACCACCCTCGTCCACCGACTCCAGGTACTGCAATGCCGGGAAGGCTGGGGTGGGGGTGAACTCCTCGATGGGGGTCTGCGCTGCAGATGAGGAGGAGCCGGCGGGGTCGGAGGGGAGGGGGTGGAGAGGCAGAGCAGGGGATGGGGCTCAGACCCAAGTCAGGAGGCCTCACGGGAGCTGAGGGACCAGCACCCCCGGGGTGGGGTGGTGGGTGGGGTGGTGGGTGGGCTGGGGTCCCTCCCCCTGGGTCAGAGAGCCCTTCTCCCATCCCCTCCCCGGCCGGCACTCACCCTTGGCCCCCCGGAGCACGAACCCGAACCCCTCGCTGTCTTTCTTCTGCAGCAAGACTGTCTTCTCCTTAATGATGTAATCGCTGGCGGGGAGGGTGGGAGGGGCGGGGGGCGGGGGTGGGTGGAGAAGGGATCATGAGACACGGAGCCCGTGCCCCACCGGCAACCCGGTGCCCCAGGCCCCTGCTCCAGAACCATTCATGCCACCCCCTAGGATCTTCCTCACCCACTCTGTGCGTATGCTTGCAGCAGCCCTGACAGGCCTCCCCCTCAGAGCCCAGAGTGCCTGGTCTCCCACTCACTCTTTCCTCATTCATCCGTCCGCGCATCCATCCACCCATCCATTCAGCAAGCCGTTACCAAGCCCGCTGTGCGCCAGGCACGGCGCGAGGGATGGCGAGATAAGCCGCCAGCTCCCCAGACGGCCGGGCTTGAGTCTCTGCTAGCCACTTCCTGTCTGTGACCTTGAGCCCACGACTTGAACCTTTTGGGGCTCAGTTTTCTCATCTATGATGAGGGACCATAACAGGCCCTACCCGACGGGGACGCTCTGGGAGTTCAGTATGTGTACCATTCAGCACTGTTCTGGGCACATAGTTTGTGCTCAATAGGATCTCTTCACTGTCTCTGGTCAACTTATTCAGTGGAGACCATACATGTGTCTCCAGGATACCTCTCCAGCTCCTCGACTATATATATACTACAGTAACTGCTCCCCAGGCCCCCGAGCATCTTGTAACATTGCTAACTCGGCACTGTCCAAAATAGTGGCCACTAGCTGGCTGTGCCTATTTATATGCCAATTAATTAAAAATTAAACTGAAAAATCCTATTCCTCCATCCCACTAGCCACATTTCAAAGTGCCCAGTAGCCACACGCAGCTAGTGGCTACCATGCCGGACAGCACAGAGACAGAACATTTCCACAGCCACAGAAAATTCTAGCGGACAGCACTGACTTATGTATTCCCCGGTATATCTCAAATGTTTCGTGCAGTCGTAGATTCTAGTAAAATGCAGACTAGCCGTGAATGTGTGGATGGTCCCCAGTAAGGCCACCAGAGCCTGCCAGCACATGTAGGTGATGCTTACATGCCCAGTAAAAAGTTCAGCTAAACTCAAACGCATTCTGTGTATCTCGACACAGCTCCAAGCCCTTGACGTCACCACTGTGTGCCTCAGGATCACACATCCATTCCGTTCCAGTTTGCAACAGGAACACCCAACACCCTGGCTCCAAACCCACTCCCCTCAGAATACCCGAGAAGCCCCTGGAGCCACCCAGAATGCATCCTGCTACGCCCCCAGCATCCGAAACCCGTCCGGAGCACACGCAGACCCCCTCAGCACATCCCAATAATATCTGCTGGCCCCAACACACTCCAATAATAGCCAAGCCTGCTCCCGCGCACTCCAATTACCTACCCCCACAGATTCGGCACAACAGCCCTCCATGAATACTCCAGTATATTTCAGTAACACCCCCCCCACATCCCAGTATGCTCCAATAATAACTCCTCCTCACTCTGATCTCGGTCTATTCCCATAACACGCCCCCTGAGCACATCCCAGCACACGCCAATAATACCTAATGTGCTCCCACTGGGTTTCAGTACCACCCCCCACCCCGGGGGCACCCCGTATACTCCCATGACCCCCATGACTTCCACTGTCAAAGCTGTACATTTGCACCACAGCCACGGCATTCTGCACATGCGCGTGCACGCCAGCCTCGCCCCCATCCCCTCCCAGCGAGTCGGTGCGCTCCACAGCATGCGTGTACATGCAGACACACCCCGGCAACCGCACCTGCTCAGAGGTCACCCTGGTCCGGTAAACACGCCACACCAGGCCCACCATGTCCTCCTGATCTTACATGCAACCCTGGGATTGCCACCTCGGCAGAGGGGGTGCGGGAGGAGAAGGAGGGACGGGGTTGGACGGGGTGGGGGGGAGGGCAAGGAAGGAGGTCGAGAGGCTTGAACAGTGAGTGGACAGACCAACAGAAATGGGTTCAGAGGTCAGAGCTGCCTGTTCTTGACCATGCACTCTGTGACACCCTTGTCCCCCGCTTTGTCCCCATCACATACCCTGACACCCTCCTCCGAGCATTCATGCCCTTGCTGCCCCCATTCCCTTCCAGATCTCCAGGGCCCCGCGGCCAGCAGTGCCCTCCAGCTCCCCTCTGTTCCTGCTCTGCAGCATCTCCCGTTCCTCCATTCATCCCACAAACTCCTACCTTTCCCCATCTTTCCCATGCCCCTGGAATCTCTTTTACCCCCACCTTATCCTCTCACTCCATACACAAGCCTCCCCCAAATACCCCGCCCCCCAATATAATTCAATAAAACGTCGAGATCTATAATATGCCAAGAGGCAGCACTTTGAAACCCTTCAGAGGGAAATAACTCAACTGTCTCTCACAGCCAGCCTCTGAAGTAGATCTGAGTACTATTTCTACTTTACAGGTGAGGAACGAGGCACAGAAAGGTCAAGCAACTTGCCTAAGGTGACACAGTAATATTCTTAAACAATACCCAAGAAAATACCTGGGTAAAAACAGTAGTAATCTCCTCCACTCACTCCACAGCACTGACATACTTTGAGCACGTACACACCTGCCCCCAATTCACCATGAGCATGCCCCTTCAGTGCCTGAAATTTACCCCAGGCTACACCAACAGCATAACAACGGCAAGGAACATTTATCGAACCATTGCTGGATGCCAGATGCCTTGCAAGCACTTTACATTTATTTATTCATTTAGTCTTCACAACACCCCTGGGAGCGGTGGACTGTTATTGTTCCCATTTTATAGATGAGGAAACTGAGGCACGGAGAAATAACTTGCTCAAGATCACACCAGCTAGAAAAGTGTCAAAGCCAAGATTTGAATCCCCACAGGTAACCCATACACCCCAATAACTTCCAAACACCCCCCGATCATCGCAGCACCTCCTCAGTCCCTCCCTCTCGAGCATCCCCATCCTGGACATGCTCCTGTCTCTCCCCACTCCCGTGACTGTCCCCTGGCTAGATGTGGAGCCTCCCTCAGCCCACCACATTCTCCTCAAACTTCCCAACTGCCCTCTTGCCCCCACAGCTTCTTACAACTCTATACTCCCTCTCCCCGGCCCCTGTGGGTGCCCCTGCCCTCCCTGCACCTTGCTCCCTGCTCATCTGAAAGCTCCACATCGCCCTAACCCACCCCCTCCAGCCCTCTGTCCATCTGCAAGCTCTCATCGCACCCCATGGGGCTGTCCTTCCACCTCCCACTTTGCTTGCAGGGCCCTCATCCCCTTTCGCAAAGTGCCCTCCTCAGACTTCCGTGACTTCTCCCCCGTCCCTTGGCCTCATCCCTTGCACATCCTCGTGCACCTCTGTAACCCCACTGCATCCCCTACAGCACACTAGATTCCCTTCAGACTCCCCGGTCCCCTCCCTGTTCACCCGTGGAAGCCTCTTCCTACTTTGCATCCTCCACTCACTCCACCACACACCCTCCTGCCTTCTTTTACTTGCAGCTGCATTTCATTTACATTCCCTGCACCCTCTCCTGTTCTCTCTGTGCAGCCTGAATCCCCACCAGCAAATCCTCTCCCGTTTCCTGCATTCCCTCCTTACCCCATTGCTCCGCACACTCCACGCACCCTCTGTGCTCCGTTTCCCCCTACTTCAGTGTCCCCCACTCTCCCTTGTTCCATTCTCATCCGGCCACCCTCCTCCCAGACCGTCTAACCCCACCCCCTGCCCCGGTATTCGCTACCCACGCGGCACCCCATTCACGCTCCGTATTGCTGACTAGCTGCCCTGCAGGTGCACGCACAATGCTCTCCCCCAGGCCATCCCTCGGCGACCCTGAGCGGCCTCGGGAGCTCAGCGGCCAGCTCTTGTTCACCGGATCCCACACACGGAGACTGCAGCAGCGTCCACTCCCCCCACCCCCACCCCGAAGGTCCCTCTCACACACCCAGGATCCCACAGCCCAGGGCCTGCTACAGTACATGGCGCCCCCTCCGGGACTCAGCCCCTCCCCGTGTACCGATCTCCGTGGGCCTCTCCACGGACTGCACAGAGGCCCCCATGCAGGGAAGCCGGCCCCCTCCCATGCTGAGAAGTGGCACACACAAGCAGATGCAGCTCCCCGTGCAGAAGCTCCACCGTAGCTCAGCACACGTGCCCCAGACAGGCACAGACCCCCCCGGGGGCAGGGAGAGGGGCACATGGGGCCAGAGACACACACAGGGGACTGGTGACGGGGGTCTGTGGGGGAGGGGACAGGCCTGGCATGGGAGTGTGGGTGTTGGGAAACACAGCCGCAGTCTCTGGGACAGACCCACTCCATACACGCGCACACACACACACACAGTCCCCAGACAGCCTCTCTGTTGCTCCAAGTCACACACAGAGACAGACGCCGTCAAACAGGGACACACAGATGGACACAGCTGGGGGGTGGGCTGAGAGCCCACCATCTCTCTCTCCTTCTTTCTGTCTCACACACACACGCACTCGGCTGCAGGCAGTCACACACACACGCACGCACATCCACACAGCCACACTGACACACACACAGTCGCACAGTGACACGCAGCGGAAAAAGAGGAGGGGAGGCGAGGCCGGGGGCGGGATGCGTGTGTGATGGAGGGGGGGATGACTGTGAATGGGAGAGAGGGGTATGAATGGGGGCACTCCCCAACTCGCGGAGGGGTGTGGGGATACGGGATCAGAGGAACAGGGGCCTGGGGTGTCTGCGCCTGAGGGGAAGCCACTGTGGTCCCCACCAGGAGGGCTCCACGTGGGGGGGGAGCTAAGGGCGGCAGGAAGGGCCACTGGGGGCCGTTTGGAGGGCCTGACTGGGGGAAGGTCTCGGAGGAAGAGCTGAGGGGGGCCTGGAAGGGCCTGAGGAGTGCGTGTGTGCGTTGTGGGGGGGGCTCAGGGACAGAGGCCCAGGGAGGGGGATGAGAGGAGAAGGGTTGAGAAGAGGGGTCCCAAAGGGTTTAGCGCAG